ATGAACTACAGCTGAGATCGACACACAAACACTGATCACTGAACTACAGCTGAGATCGACACACACACACTGATCACTGAACTACAGCTGAGATCGACACACACACACTGATCACTGAACTACAGCTGAGATCGACACACAAACACTGATCACTGAACTACAGCTGAGATCGACACACACACACTGATCACTGAACTACAGCTGAGATCGACACACACACACTGATCAATGAACTACAGCTGAGATCGACACACAAACACTGATCACTGAACTACAGCTGAGATCGACACACACACACTGATCACTGAACTACAGCTGAGATCGACACACACACACTGATCACTGAACTACAGCTGAGATCGACACACAAACACTGATCACTGAACTACAGCTGAGATCGACACACAAACACTGATCACTGAACTACAGCTGAGATCGACACACAAACACTGATCACTGAACTACAGCTGAGATCGACACACACACACTGATCACTGAACTACAGCTGAGATCGACACACACACACTGATCACTGAACTACAGCTGAGATCGACACACAAACACTGATCACTGAACTACAGCAGAGATCGACACACAAACACTGATCACTGAACTACAGCTGAGATCGACACACAAACACTGATCACTGAACTACAGCTGAGATCGACACACAAACACTGATCACTGAACTACAGCTGAGATCGACACACAAACACTGATCACTGAACTACAGCTGAGATCGACACACAAACACTGATCACTGAACTACAGCTGAGATCGACACACACACACTGATCACTGAACTACAGCTGAGATCGACACACAAACACTGATCACTGAACTACAGCTGAGATCGACACACACACACTGATCACTGAACTACAGCTGAGATCGACACACACACACTGATCACTGAACTACAGCTGAGATCGACACACAAACACTGATCACTGAACTACAGCTGAGATCGACACACACACACTGATCACTGAACTACAGCTGAGATCGACACACAAACACTGATCACTGAACTACAGCTGAGATCGACACACAAACACTGATCACTGAACTACAGCTGAGATCGACACACACACACTGATCACTGAACTACAGCTGAGATCGACACACAAACACTGATCACTGAACTACAGCTGAGATCGACACACACACACTGATCACTGAACTACAGCTGAGATCGACACACAAACACTGATCACTGAACTACAGCTGAGATCGACACACAAACACTGATCACTGAACTACAGCTGAGATCGACACACAAACACTGATCACTGAACTACAGCTGAGATCGACACACACACACTGATCACTGAACTACAGCTGAGATCGACACACACACACTGATCACTGAACTACAGCTGAGATCGACACACAAACACTGATCACTGAACTACAGCTGAGATCGACACACACACACTGATCACTGAACTACAGCTGAGATCGACACACAAACACTGATCACTGAACTACAGCTGAGATCGACACACACACACTGATCACTGAACTACAGCTGAGATCGACACACAAACACTGATCACTGAACTACAGCTGAGATCGACACACAAACACTGATCACTGAACTACAGCTGAGATCGACACACACACACTGATCACTGAACTACAGCTGAGATCGACACACACACACTGATCACTGAACTACAGCTGAGATCGACACACAAACACTGATCACTGAACTACAGCTGAGATCGACACACAAACACTGATCACTGAACTACAGCTGAGATCGACACACAAACACTGATCACTGAACTACAGCTGAGATCGACACACACACACTGATCACTGAACTACAGCTGAGATCGACACACAAACACTGATCACTGAACTACAGCTGAGATCGACACACACACACTGATCACTGAACTACAGCTGAGATCGACACACAAACACTGATCACTGAACTACAGCTGAGATCGACACACACACACTGATCACTGAACTACAGCTGAGATCGACACACACACACTGATCACTGAACTACAGCTGAGATCGACACACAAACACTGATCACTGAACTACAGCTGAGATCGACACACAAACACTGATCACTGAACTACAGCTGAGATCGACACACAAACACTGATCACTGAACTACAGCTGAGATCGACACACAAACACTGATCACTGAACTACAGCTGAGATCGACACACAAACACTGATCACTGAACTACAGCTGAGATCGACACACAAACACTGATCACTGAACTACAGCTGAGATCGACACACAAACACTGATCACTGAACTACAGCTGAGATCGACACACACACACTGATCACTGAACTACAGCTGAGATCGACACACAAACACTGATCACTGAACTACAGCTGAGATCGACACACACACACTGATCACTGAACTACAGCTGAGATCGACACACAAACACTGATCACTGAACTACAGCTGAGATCGACACACACACACTGATCACAGAACTACAGCTGAGATCGACACACACACACTGATCACTGAACTACAGCTGAGATCGACACACAAACACTGATCACTGAACTACAGCTGAGATCGACACACAAACACTGATCACTGAACTACAGCTGAGATCGACACACAAACACTGATCACTGAACTACAGCTGAGATCGACACACAAACACTGATCACAGAACTACAGCTGAGATCGACACACAAACACTGATCACTGAACTACAGCTGAGATCGACACACAAACACTGATCACAGAACTACAGCTGAGATCGACACACAAACACTGATCACTGAACTACAGCTGAGATCGACACACAAACACTGATCACTGAACTACAGCTGAGATCGACACACACACACTGATCACTGAACTACAGCTGAGATCGACACACACACACTGATCACTGAACTACAGCTGAGATCGACACACAAACACTGATCACTGAACTACAGCTGAGATCGACACACACACACTGATCACTGAACTACAGCTGAGATCGACACACACACACTGATCACTGAACTACAGCTGAGATCGACACACAAACACTGATCACTGAACTACAGCTGAGATCGACACACACACACTGATCACTGAACTACAGCTGAGATCGACACACAAACACTGATCACTGAACTACAGCTGAGATCGACACACACACACTGATCAATGAACTACAGCTGAGATCGACACACAAACACTGATCACTGAACTACAGCTGAGATCGACACACACACACTGATCACTGAACTACAGCTGAGATCGACACACAAACACTGATCACTGAACTACAGCTGAGATCGACACACAAACACTGATCACTGAACTACAGCTGAGATCGACACACACACACTGATCACTGAACTACAGCTGAGATCGACACACACACACTGATCACTGAACTACAGCTGAGATCGACACACACACACTGATCACTGAACTACAGCTGAGATCGACACACACACACTGATCACTGAACTACAGCTGAGATCGACACACAAACACTGATCACTGAACTACAGCTGAGATCGACACACAAACACTGATCACTGAACTACAGCTGAGATCGACACACACACACTGATCACTGAACTACAGCTGAGATCGACACACACACACTGATCACTGAACTACAGCTGAGATCGACACACAAACACTGATCACTGAACTACAGCTGAGATCGACACACACACACTGATCACTGAACTACAGCTGAGATCGACACACACACACTGATCACTGAACTACAGCTGAGATCGACACACAAACACTGATCACTGAACTACAGCTGAGATCGACACACACACACTGATCAATGAACTACAGCTGAGATCGACACACAAACACTGATCACTGAACTACAGCTGAGATCGACACACACACACTGATCACTGAACTACAGCTGAGATCGACACACAAACACTGATCACTGAACTACAGCTGAGATCGACACACACACACTGATCACTGAACTACAGCTGAGATCGACACACACACACTGATCACTGAACTACAGCTGAGATCGACACACAAACACTGATCACTGAACTACAGCTGAGATCGACACACACACACTGATCACTGAACTACAGCTGAGATCGACACACACACACTGATCACTGATCGTCTGGTTTAGTTTCGAGACGTACAACCTAGAAGCTTTGCGCAATATCACTACGTGAAATCTCAAGGCCCACAGAGAAAAAAATGAATAGTTGAATAAATTCGTTATTTTTGTTTGTTTTTTGCGCACAAAAAGTATTCTCGTCGCTTGATAATCTTAAGATTGAGCCACTGTAGTCACTAGGACTATTTTAACGATGTCTTTCATAACTTTTGGGCCGGCCAGTTTCGATCCCTTAAGAAGCCTATGGAGGAGTGATCCAGCTCTCAGATTTAATCAAAAATATCTTAATTTGTGTTCCGAAGATGAACGAAAGTCTTACGGGGTTGGAACAACATGAGGGTGAACTATCCCTTTAGATAGACAAAATCCCCTTACCTTTCCTTTACATAGGCTATGTATTGCGCTGAGTCTTTTTGCAAGTGTTACACACTCGTGTACGGTCGTGATCCGGAGAACACAGGGAACCTAAACACAATTCGCAAGGTGTCCTCGCTCTGCAGTTCATCAACAGCTTCATTGTGTTTCATTCATTTATCGACCATGTCCATAAAAGAGGGCTTTTATAAAATTGCCGGTAAGATATATTGATAGGGTGACATCACATGAACAATTTTTTTTCTTTCAAAAAGCAGATTTCACTTAGAGCACTTAAATGTACTATACAATACAGTACATGTTAAGAATTATTTGTAAAAAAATTTGTTATTATTCTGTTAATCTTATGATAGGATTCCCTAGAGACATTGGAGCAAGGAAGTCCTTTCACAGCCTCAGGCATACATGTGAGATGATTGTTATTTTCTGTGAGATGAATCTTTAAATTAATAGTAACATTAACAGACATAACAATGATCTACTGAACATTTCATCTGCAGATGACTGGTGATCATGAACGTATGATCAGTGCATGTTGTGTCAGCGCTTTGAGGAAGGCAAGTTAAATTTGGTACAGATGAACTGCACTCTTTTTTCAAAAGTGTGTTAAACAGTTTAGAAGCAGATCTCCTAGAAGTGGTAAATGCCTCACTTCTCTCTGGGAGTTTTCCAAACTCCCTGAAAACTGCAGTTGTCAAGCCCCTCCTGAAAAAGAGCAATCTGGATAAGACCATCTTAAGCAATTATAGACCGATCTCAAATCTTCCTTTCATAGGCAAGATCATTGAAAAAGTTGTCTTCAATCAGCTGAACAAATTCTTAATCTCGAATGGATACTTTGACAATTTTCAATCTGGTTTCCGATCGCATCACAGCACAGAGACAGCGCTCATAAAGATAATAAATGATATTCGCTTAAATACTGATACAGGTAAATTATCAGTGCTGGTACTACTCGACCTCAGTGCTGCATTTGACACTGTCGATCACAACATACTTCTTGACAGGCTGGAAAACTGGGTGGGGCTTTCTGGGATAGTCCTAAAATGGTTCAGGTCATACTTAGAAGGGAGAGGTTATTATGGGAGTATAGGAGACCATAAGTCTGAGTGGACGTCCATGATATGCGGAGTCCCTCAAGGCTCAATTCTTGCACCACTCCTGTTCAACCTGTATATGCTCCCAATGAGCCAAATAATGAGACAGAACCGAATCTCTTACCACAGCTATGCAGACGACACACAGCTCTACTTAGCCCTATCGCCTAACGACTACAGCCCCATTGACTCCCTGTGCCAATGCATTGATGAAGTCAACAGTTGGATGTGCCAAAACTTTCTTCAGTTAAACAAAGACAAAACTGAAGTCATTGCGTTTGGAAACAAAGATGAAGTTCTCAAGGTGAACGCATACCTTGACGCTAGGGGTCTAACAACTAAAAATCAAGTCAGGAATCTTGGTGTGTCTCTAGAGTCAGATCTTAGTTTCAGTAGTCATGTCAAAGCAATAACTAAATCAGCATACTATCATCTGAAAAATATTGCAAGAATTAGATGCTTTGTTTCCAATCAAGACTTAGAGAAACTTGTGCATGCTTTTATCACCAGCAGGGGGGATTATTGTAATGGACTCCTCACTGGCCTTCCTAAAAAGACCATAAGACAGTTGCAGCTCATACAGAACGCTGCTGCCAGGATCCTGAGCAGAACCAGAAAATATGAACATATCACACCAGTCCTCAGGTCTCTACACTGGCTCCCAGTTACATTTAGGATTGATTTTAAAGTATTATTACTGGTATATAAATCCTTTAATGGGCTAGGACCTCAATATATTGCAGATATGCTCACTGAATATAAACCTAACAGAGCACTCAGATCATTAGGATCACATCAGCTAGAAATACCAAGGGTTCGCTCTAAGCATGGAGAGTCTGCTTTTAGCTATTATGCCAGCCGCAGCTGGAACCAGCTTCCAGAGGAGATCAGATGTGCTCCTACAGTAGTCACATTCAAATCCAGACTCAAAACACATCTGTTTAGCTATGCATTTACTGAATGAGCACTGTGCCACTGTTCGTCCGACTGTTTTTACTGTACTGGTTTTGTCTTTGTTTGTTTTCTAATTTCTAATTTATTTATTTATTTATTTTTCTAATCTCTGGAAGAGATTTTGAAGGAGTAAGTTATACTGCTGTATAAGAAGTCGCTGAGAGCGTCGTTAAGGGTAACGGCAGCAGACAGCGCACACGAAGCGTGCTCTGTGGGGCCCCCGCTGGGCATTACTGGTGTAGCACCACCCCAGCAGAGTACGTCCCTGGGCTAGAGGCCCAGTGGCACTGTAAACCTGCTCAATCTCTTCCATCTTAGATAGGGGTGGACCAGTACTACTTTATTTGATTTTTTATTCTAAACTGTTTTAATTATTCTTATTTGTTTTGATTATTTTAATTTCTTCTATGTAAAGTACTTTGAATTGCCATTGTGTATGAAATGTGCTATATAAATAAACTTGCCTTGCCTTGCCTTGCCTTGCCTACAGTACAAAACACTGTTCATTTGAATTGGGACAGCAAAACCTACACAATTTTCCCTTTTCTGTTCTATGAGAGGGCTTTTTGATGGCCTGTTGGTGGGAGACGGGTTTAGATGACCCTATCCTGACCCTCAGACGGGGCCAAACCAGAGTGAAGATAGAGATGACCGCATCCTAAAGGCCCATTCCAGCTGTGTTCGGCTTAGCTCCGGCTGTGCTCCAACTGTGTTCGGCTGTGCTCCGGCTGTGTTCGGCTGTGCTCCGGCTGTGTTCGGCTGTGCTCCGGCTGTGTTCAGTTGTGCTCCGGCTGTGTTCGGCTGTGCTCCGGCTGTGTTCGGCTGTGCTCCGGCTGTGTTCGGCTGTGCTCCAGCTGTGTTCAGTTGTGCTCCGGCTGTGTTCAGTTGTGCTCCGGCTGTGTTCGGCTGTGCTCCAACTGTGTTCGGCTGTGCTCCAACTGTGTTCGGCTGTGCTCCGGCTGTGTTCGGCTGTGCTCCGGTTGTGTTCAGTTGTGCTCCGGCTGTGTTCGGCTGTGCTCCGGCTGTGTTCGGCTGTGCTCCAGCTGTGTTCAGTTGTGCTCCGGCTGTGTTCGGCTGTGCTCCAGCTGTGTTGGGCTGTGCTCGGCTGTGTTCAGTTGTGCTCCGGCTGTGTTCGGCTGTGCTCCAGCTGTGTTCAGTTGTGCTCCAGCTGTGTTCGGCTGTGCTCCAGCTGTGTTCGGCTGTGCTCCAGCTGTGTTCTGTTGTGCTCCAGCTGTGTTCGGCTGTGCTCCAGCTGTGTTCGGCTGTGCTCCAGCTGTGTTCAGTTGTGCTCCAGCTGTGTTCGGCTGTGCTCCAGCTGTGTTCGGCTGTGCTCCAGCTGTGTTCGGCTGTGCTCCGGCTGTGTTCGGCTGTGCTCCGGCTGTGTTCAGTTGTGCTCCGGCTGTGTTCGGCTGTGCTCCAGCTGTGTTCGGCTGTGCTCCAGCTGTGTTCGGCTGTGCTCCGGCTGTGTTCGGCTGTGCTCCAGCTGTGTTCGGCTGTGCTCGGCTGTGTTCAGTTGTGCTCCGGCTGTGTTCGGCTGTGCTCCAACTGTGTTCGGCTGTGCTCCAGCTGTGTTCGGCTGTGCTCCAGCTGTGTTCGGCTGTGCTCCAGCTGTGTTCTGTTGTGCTCCAGCTGTGTTCGGCTGTGCTCCAGCTGTGTTCGGCTGTGCTCGGTTGTGTCCCCAGAGCGGGCCTGTTCTGTACAAAACAGCCACCCTCAGCTTCTCCCTTTAAAAGTGACTTAAAATTTCTTTTAAGTCACTTTTAAAAACGCACTTGTTCTCTTTGGCCTACAAATAAGGTGCATGTACATGTATATATATGTGGTTGCATGTTGCACCACATATTAAGGTGCATGTACATGTATATATATATGTGTATATGTGTACATATTTTTCTCCATTGCATCGTATTACATTGAATCACATCGCGTTGAATCGGATCGCACCGCATCGTAAGAGTAAGAGTGGGCGCATGCGCGAGCAGTCGGTGTTTGTGTTTGAAAGCTCCGTCGAATCAATTCATTAATCCTTGATTTTCTTCTTTACCACTCATTTATAAACAAGCACTTTCTATTTTTATATCATGGGAACTTATCCTCGATACTATTCCTTATAAAAAACAATCGGATTGCTTTGATATCGCTACTTAGACCCAACTTTGCGAATCTCGGCTACTAGCCTTTAGTCCGCTAGCATTTCAAGCGTGGCCTCGCGCCTATTGACCGTCTGATTTTACACCCGTTTCACTGAAAGGATACAGGTTATATCCGGCATTTCAGTCCTAAATTACTAGTGATATTGGTAGTATCACTACTAATCTACTGTTCATCTGTTATGGCGAACATATCAGATGTGTGTCTAACGTTACCTCTGAGTGCAGGTGAGGACACATTCGAACTGATTTCGGTACGATTGGAGCTTGAATCGGTGGAGAAACAGATCCGTGGTCTGCTAGAGAGGCAAGCCGAGCTGCGGGATCGGCGATCAGCGCTTGAAACGTCACGCGCCGATGCTCACAAGTCAGTGGTTAGTAACTTTTTGACTCCGACTTCGTCCACTCCGTGCGTTTCTCTGCCCAGGAGGACGCGATCATCTCTGGCATCATTCACTCCGGCACCAACCCAACACCATGGACCCTGGATGATCCCACAGCGGAAGACACGAGCCAGGACCAGAGCAAGAACCTCTCCGCCCCTCCCGGTCTTCGAGATCTCCACCCGGAACCGCTTCTCCCCTCTTCGCGAGTCGGAACGCGACAACGCCGTGATCATCGGCACTTCCATGGTCCGTCATGTCCGTGCTACCTCAGGTAAGGGTAAGGTGCGCACTCACTGCCTTCCTGGTGCTCGTGTTCTTGATGTCGCCGCACAGGTTCCCGAGATCCTGAGCGGTGAAGAGCGCGTCGGAGCTGTGGTGCTTCACGCTGGAACAAACGATATCAGGCTGCGGCAGACGGAGGTTCTGAAGAAGGACTACAGGAGCCTGATCGAGGCGGTACGCAGCACAGCGCCTGAGGCAACGATCATCGTGTCTGGACCGCTTCCCACGTACCGACAAGGACAGGAAAGGTTCAGTAGATTATTTGCACTAAATTAATGGTTAATGTCATTGTGTAATGAACAGAAACTGCTCTTTGTAAATAATTGGAATCTGTTCTGGGAGCGACCTAGGCTCTACCGTGCTGATGGCCTGCACCCCAGCAGAGCCGGAGCGGCTGTGCTGTCGGACAACATCTCCAAGACGTTACACACTGTATGACTAGAAAATCAAATTCCAAATCACAGTCTTTGCTGTGCCAATTTAATTGATATAAGTAGTGTAGAACATTATATAGAAACTGTGTCTATTCCTCGTTTAGTGAGGCCAAATAATAAATCCACTGTAGGATCTAGGAAAAATCTTATTGTAATTAAACCTGAAAATCTAAATATCAGTGAACAAAAACAATTTCTAAAACTAGGTCTTCTAAACATTAGATCGCTCACACCTAAGGCGGTTATTGTAAATGAAATGGTCACAGATAATAGCTTCGATGTACTTTGCCTTACTGAAACCTGGCTTAAACCAAACGAGTATTTCGGTCTAAATGAGTCTACCCCGCCAGGATACTGTTATAAGCATGAGCCCCGTCTGATCGGTCGTGGCGGCGGTGTTGCAACAATCTATAGAGATATTATTAATGTTACTCAGAAAACAGGTCACAGGTTTAACTCGTTTGAAGTACTTGTGCTAAACGTTACGCTCTTAGATGGAAGAAATAAATCCCTATTATCTCTAGCCTTGGCTACTGTATATAGACCTCCAGGACCATATGCTGATTTCCTAAAAGAGTTTGCAGACTTTCTCTCAGATCTATTGGTCAATGCCGATAAAGCAATAATTGTTGGAGATTTTAACATACACGTAGATAACACAAACGATGCGTTAGGGACTGCGTTTACAGATTTATTAAACTCCTTTGGGGTCAAGCAGAATGTCAGTGGTCCCACTCATCGTCTAAATCATACACTAGATTTAATTATATCATATGGAACCAATCTAACCGATATAGATATTATACCGCAAAGTGACGATCTCACCGATCATCACATGGTAACTTGTATAATACGCACTGCTGAAATTTGTCATGTTGCGCCACGTTATAGACCAGGCAGAACAATCCTTCCGACCACTATAGATAGATTCTCAAATAGCTTACCTGATCTATCTCAGCTGCTCAGAGAACCCAAACAAACAGATGAACTAGAGGAAATGACTAGCAGTTTGAGCACCATTTTCTCTAGTACATTAGATATTGTTGCACCAATTAGATCAAAAAAGGTTAGAGAGAAAACTAAAGCACCATGGTACAACAGTGCTACGCATGCTATCAAGAGAGAAACTCGTAACTTAGAGCGTAAATGGAAACAAACTAATTTAGAGGTCTTTAGAATCGCGTGGAAAGACAGTATGTCTCGTTATAAAAAAGCTCTAAAAGCAGCCAGGGCTGAGCATCTCCGCAAACTAATAGAAAATAACCAAAATAATCCAAGGTTTTTATTTAACACCGTGGCTAGACTAACAAATAAACAGACATCACCCGAGCAAATTATTCCGTTACAGTATAGCTGTAATGATTTTATGAACTACTTCAATGAGAAAATAGAAAGCATCCGAAACACAATTGTAAATGTACAATCCTCTATGGTGTCTTATGATTCAGCCTCAATTATCGCCCCTCAAGAACAACTACACCGCTTTACAACTATAGGACAGGAAGAGCTAAATAAACTTATCATTGCATCTAAACCAACAACATGTTTATTAGATCCAATACCAACTAAATTTCTGAAAGAAGTGTTACCTGTAGTGGAAGAGCCTCTTCTTAATATTATTAACTCGTCTTTATCTTTAGGTCATGTTCCAAAAATATTCAAGCTGGCAGTAATAAAACCTCTCATTAAGAAACCGAGAATTTTCTATAAAACTTGAAGAGACTGTAGGTTATCTGTATAGGTTGCATAGTATTTGCAGTCATTACGTTCCTGTGTATATTGCGTGAATGACGGGTGGTTGGGCAGATATTGTGTTGCGGTAGGTAGTATGCCATACGGAACCGTTGTCCACTGAAACTGCCTTTTCACGCACCAGTGGGGCTCGACAGCCTTAGTCAACGGGTTGGCGCGTATGGTTGGGTTGCGGAGAGATTGTGAGATTGTGGTTAGGTCTCAGCAGCAGGAGGGACGTAGAGGTCAGTAAGCTGGGCTGAGTTGAGTGGGGGACGGAGGGGGGTGATTTTGGGACGCAAGAGTCACTGTCTTCATGTTTTGTCATTTACGCCTGTGTTATGGAAATCATCATTATGAACAGCAGCTACGCTAATTATTTTCCCTTTGCTTTTCTGCTGTTATCTCGGGACGCGAGTCCCGAGAAAATGGCGTTCGTCAGCTCCAGTTTGTATCCAGCCTCTCACGGAGACTTCAGATGCTCCAATCACAAAGCCTGTGAAGTGACGACTCAACACGGGCGATATGGACTCTCTATGGTGGACGGCACTGATCCTCAACAACTTGTCTTAAGACCGGCGTGATTACTTGGACTTCCAAAAAATACTCTAAATGTTCCGATCCAATCTGACTTGTAATGCTGCCCGAATCATGCACTGTTCCTTCGTTGGCCAGAGGAGAACTGGCCCCCCGACTGAGTCTGGTTTCTCCCAAGGTTTTTTTCTCCATTCTGTCACCTGATGGAGTTTTGGTTCCTTGCCACTGTTGCCTTGGCTTTTGGCTTGCTTAGTTGGGGACATTTAACATTTAATATTCAATAATATTATTGATCTGCCTTACTTAAGGTGGACGTTGACGCAATATCTTTTAGAAACAAACTTTGTTATATTGTTTTCATGTTATCACTGTGAAGCGCTTTGATACAATCTGTATTGTAAAAAGCGCTATATAAATAAAGGTGACTTGACTTGACTTGACATATATGTGTGTGTATGTATCTATATATATGGGTGTATATATAGATATATTTATACTTTTTTTTTTTTTTTTTGTCTATTCTATATTTCTCTCCTTCGAGTATGATACTAGTATTAAACCTGTTACTGTCTTCTCTGTTTTATTTTCTACTACTGATAGTCTCTGAGACTTCTTGGATGTCTCCCGTTTTAAGCTGTTCTTAACCTGTTGTACTGTTCTATGATGTGCTACTACGCATGGTGTTGGTGTCTTTTAATTTTGTAGTTCTGTGAAGCACTTTGGTCAGTCAGTGGCTGTTATAAAATGTGCTATATAAATAAAATGAACTTGAACTTGAACTTCTCCCGGTGAAACAGGCCTTCCTCCGGCTTCTAAATATCACACTTTTTTCTGTTTGCTGCAAACAAACGTCTGTGATAAAATGTTCACAAAAATAATAAATGGTTGTGGTAAATACTCACCACTTTGAATTTTATTTTTTTATTTTCTCTTTATCCGCTGCCAAGAACGTGTGGAGTTGGGGTTGCATCTAAAAAAATCAATGAATATTAATCTTTCTTAGGATATGCATGCACATTTTTTATATATTAAAAAAATTATTATTACACACACACACACACACACACTGACACACGCACACACACACACACACACATACACACACACAATTTTACATGAATATAGAACGTATTTGTTCAGCTTCCGCATTACCGCATCCAGCGATCTCTCTCCAGCAGTGTCCTCGTGCTGTATGGGTTAGGGTTGGGTTAGGGTTGGGTTAGGGTTGGGTTAGGTTAGGTTAGGGTTGGGTTGGGTTAGGGTTCGCCATAGTGCTGCGGCTGCAGAGACCGTGTCGCTCTGAGCATAAAGTCGCCGCTCTTCTGAATGATCATCTCTTGCTCCTCCAAAAGTTGATGAGCTGCATCCTGGTACCAATAAAGCCTGATTGCATCGGTTTGGTTTTGTCAACTCAAAACTACTCTTGTAACCCCGAGTTAGTTCAGCTTCCTCCATGGGCATGGCACAGGCCCTGTGATGCATGAGTTTAGTTCAGCAGGAACAGAAACCTATGAAACGGCCAATAGATGTCAGTGTCACGCCGCAGTTCATTAGTGCTGATGATCACAATATAACTGTGCATGCTTTATTATTTCCCCAAATACTTCCCAAAAGGTGATATCATATTATTATTGTTTTATCTCATGTCCGTGAATTTAAATATTTAAATAATAGTTCATAATTTATTCGTCCTAATAATAAGCGGTTAACCAGCCAACACAAGTCTAGTCAACTCAGCTTTATTTCTATAGTGCTTATACTTACAGAGATAACAGGAACATGATGATTCTGTGTCGTTCCGCTGAAGTCAGTTCAGTGTTTCGCTGTAAAGATGATCATCAATTATTGAATAAGTTAATTTCATCTATAAAGCAGTTCTAAAAAATAAAAAACATTTTTTTAAATGATGTCATCGTCCAGCTCAGTTCAGTTCTCATACAACAGCGTCAGACGATTATGATCATATTTTTCTTACTGGTTGAGGTGTCATTGTTATTTCTCTGTCTTCTTTTTCTTTTTCTTTCCTTTTCATTTTATGTTAATGAATTCAATGCAGTGCTGTTTCTTTTCTTGCAATAAAAAAACACAGTAGCGTCAGTAAAGTCAGATCAATAATACTGATGAATATTAAGTGAATGATTTAAATTATTTAACATTGTAATATCACGTTTCACAGAAATAGTCGAATAAAAAGAAACTAACAATTATAAGTTTGTGTGTATGTGAGTGTGTGTGTGTGTGTGTGTGTGTGCAATGAGAACTTGCATCAAGAAAACACTTAATATACATTTTATCCTGATCTGACTGGAAACCCTGGCGCTCATATAATGTGCATTTCTGGTTTTGTTCATGCATTTATTATTTGTCCAGCATATTCGGATTATTATCCGCGGGCATTTGCGACGCAAGACGAGCTTTGATGAACTTTTGTTCTTGCGGTTATTTGTCCAGTCTTAGGAGAACAGACTGAGAGCTGATCCAGTGAGAGCTCGTCAGAGAACTGTTTTCTTCATCATGTGAGGATGTCTCTGATTGGTCAGTGATTGGTCAGTGATTGGTCAGTTTTAAAACGACCGCAGCTGATGACCAGCGGGCACGCGCGCGCGCGACACACACCCCTGGAGAGAACAGACAGAGGAAACTGATATTGGCACACTTCTTAATTTGTGCTCATAGCAAGTCTACTATTTCTGGTGGAAAGAAAAACTGATGTGAATGACCACAGGTGACAGACATTGCGCGCACACGAGAGAGAGCGCAAACTCAATACGCGCGTAGCAGGAATGTAAATGAAAAAGGCTCAGTAGAAATGGAAATGCAAGATGCAAAGCTCAGGATTGTGAAGAGAAAAGACTAGCACGTCACCAGCCGAGAGACCAGAGCAAAGCAACCCGAGCGCGCGCGCCGGACACCGGGAAAGTTCGTGCGTAAAAACCAAAAGCGTCACTGCACATAAAGGGAATGAAAAGACATTCTGAAGGACATTTCTCTTGAGGGAAACAGGCATGGAGTCTGCTGGCTCTGCTGGGTCTGCTGGGCTGGCTAAATCAGCCGCACTAAAGTTGTCTGAGATGGGCGAAAGAAGTAAACAGCTGGGCAGCGCGTTGCGGGACCCGGAGCGGCAGAGACGCGTCATTCTGGTGATAGTTTGCGTCGCGCTTCTGCTGGACAACATGCTTTACATGGTGATCGTTCCCATCATTCCCGATTATCTCACGGATTTAGAGAACGCGCAAGCTTTGCGCACTCATGCCAACTCTTCCCTGAGCAGAGCAACCCGGGAGAACCTGGACATCCAGATCGGGGTGTTGTTCGCGTCCAAGGCCATCCTGCAGCTCCTGGTGAACCCGTTCACCGGCACCTTCATCGACCGCGTCGGGTACGACATACCGCTGCTGATCGGACTCCTGGTCATGTTCGTCTCCACGTGTATATTCGCGTTCGCTGAGAACTACTGGACGCTGTTCTGCGCGCGCAGTCTACAGGGGTTCGGCTCGGCGTTCGCGGACACGTCAGGGATCGCGATGATCGCGGATAAATACACGGAGGAGGCGGAGAGGAGTCGCGCGCTCGGCATCGCGCTCGCCTTCATCTCGTTCGGGAGCCTCGTGGCGCCTCCGTTCGGCGGGATCCTGTATGAGTTCGCAGGTAAACGGGTCCCGTTCATAGTTCTGGCCTCCGTGTGCTTGGCAGACAGCGTTCTGGTCTTGACTGTGATCAAACCTTTCTCTAACAGGACGCGCGAGAACATGCCGGTCGGGACGCCCATTCACCGGCTCATGATTGACCCGTACATCGCCGTGGTGGCGGGCGCGCTGACCGTGTGCAACATCCCGCTGGCGTTCCTGGAGCCCACCATCTCCCGCTGGATGGAGAGCACGATGAACGCCAGTGAGTGGGAGATGGGGCTCGTCTGGCTGCCCGCGTTCCTGCCGCACGTGCTGGGCGTTTATGTCACTGTCCGATTAGCCGCGAAGTTCCCGGACCTGCAGTGGTTCTACGGGGCCCTCGGGATGGTGATTATAGGGGCCAGTTCGTGCACTGTTCCCGCATGCAGGAGCTTCGGCCAGCTGATGGTCCCGCTGTGCGGAATCTGCTTCGGCATCGCGCTGGTGGACACGGCGCTCCTGCCAACGCTCGCGTTCCTGGTGGACGTGCGTCACGTGTCCGTGTACGGGAGCGTGTACGCCATCGCGGACATCTCCTACTGCGTCGCGTACGCGCTAGGGCCTGTGGTCGCGGGGCAGATCGTGCACCACCTGGGGTTCGTGCAGCTGAACCTGGGCATGGGTCTGGTGAACGTGCTGTACGCGCCCGCGTTGCTGATGCTGAGCTCCGTGTGCCAGATGAGGCCGTCGCGCTCCGAGAGCAACGCGCTGCTGGAGGACCCGCCCACGGGCTTGTACCACACCATCCGACTGGAGGAGCGACGACGCGCGCGGAAGGGTCTGTGCGTCACGGCGACCAACGCGCTTCCCGTGGACGAGAACGGGCTCTTCGCGCGCTCCAAATCCTGCTCGGAGGAATCATCCGGACCCGAGTTCACTTAACAAAACTCACACACTCACTAAACTCTTAACTCAACTTAACCATCCTGATCTCATGAAATGCGTATCTATAGCACGCATTGTGTCTATCGTGTAATTTATACGCGAAAATAAGTTTTTGCGTGCATATGATGTGTCTGGTGCGCAATATTTAGTTATTAGTTATTCTCACAGAAGTGTTTCTGCTTTCCACGTCTTTTATGATTTCGACAGAAACTATTAGAGGTTTGTCTCTAAACGCCAGTGTCTCTGTAGTGTGTAGAAGATGTGATGTAACTGCACAAACCCCGAATAAAAGAGTGCTCATATTTCCCTACACATGCCTTTTTATTGACTGAATCAATAAACATGACAATGAATCAGCTTTTATGTTTTTTTTTTAGTATCTTCAAATTCTCAAAGTTCTTCAAAAAGATTCTTGTAAAATAATATATTTTAACGACGGTCGAGGGATTTTGAGTCCGTTTGAATTTTTGTGGGTTTCATTTCATTGAATTGAAACGAAATATATAATTAATTCAATTCAATTAATTAAATTACATATAAAACCTGTTAAGGTGGGACCAGATATGAGACTAATTTAAAGACAATTTTGATAGATAGTAACAACTCTAAAATAAAAATACATTTCCCCCCCCCCATATTTTCCATGACGAAAAATACAAATAGATGCACCGTCCATCATCTAACATGATAAAAACAAACTGTTTAATAACCAGCATTTACTCTAGTATGGGTGTTGTTAATTGAATAAATAAAATCAGAAAATGTAGCTAGACAGCATCAAATAATGTGTCGAATAAAACATAAATTGTCGGAAGGGATGAAAGAGCAGCAGCACCTCTGGAAACAGCTGGAGGAGCATCAGTGTGTGTGTGTGTGTGTGTGTGTGTGTCGGGAACGGGTGGGCGGAGTCACGGACACACACACACACACACACACACCCTGACCATGTCCGCGCGCCCGCTGAAACACACTTGAAGCTGCTGGAGCGACACACACTGATGGAGCGACACACACTGATGGAGCGACACACACTGATGGAGGTGAGCGGATCTCTATACTCTCTAGAACTTCTGTAGAAAAGTTTATACAGGAAGGGTTTGTATTTGAAATCATTTATTAGTGGCATAGTTTTCCTACAGTACTTTTGCACGTCTGTCACTGCACACCTGAAGCTCCAAGCTGCCATTGCTCTATGAAGTTGTGCATGTTTTCTGTCACGCGGGTCAGTGTTTTATCATCATCATCATCATCATCATCATCATCATCATCATCATTCATCATCATCATCTACATCATCATCATCGACAGATCGGTCCTCTTATCGCGACTGTAAAAGAGCGAGAAACATTTGCATCTATTTTCATACTTCAGTCATATTCTCCTACACCACAGTTCCCTCAATCAATTAAATTAAATTAAAAATGAAATTGAGTAAAACATTTATGACTCCCACTTCTGATGAACTTCACGAAAGCGTTCAGGTCCATCCATCACACTAAAACAATCGTTGCAATCTGAAATAGAAATTTGTCTAAATATTATATTTTAGAGAAAGTGGCCATTTTCATGGGGATGTTGCAGGTTATTCCATAAATAGCTCAAATGTAATGATGTCACCGTGTTTCGTGGTGATTGACAGCAATCAAACATCTGTTGATTCAGGATCAGAGACTCGGGGTTATTAATAAGGCTTGAGAGAGCCAAATTACTGAAATGCTATTAAACGTATTATTGTTCATTTTTCTGAGACTAAAATGTCTGACTCTAACTCCTCCTAGAGCTTTAACCCAATCTCCTAACTCGGCTCGGACCTTCAGATATCTTTTCTAACTGATCGGATTTACGGTTTTCTAAAACTCGGGAAAATCCCATTGACTTTGACGTTGAGACAAACTTTAAGTTGGCTTGAGAAAGCTGGACCAGAGAGTTTGAAGAAGTTTTAAAAGCTTTAAGTTTCTAGTAGTTTGAAGTTTCTAGTAGTTTGAAGTTTAAAGTGATTAGATAGATAGATATTTTTTAGATGGGTTAGAAATCGTACATAGAATGGTAGTTTAATTAAGTTGGTTTGAGAGAGCCAATTTACTGAAATGCTATTTAAACGTATTATTATTCTTTTTCTGAGACTAAAATCTATCTATCTTTCTAGATATAGATAGGTAAAATCTAACCCTAACCCTAACCCTAACTTTAAACTTAAAGCTTTTAAAACTTCTTCAAACTCTCTCTGGTCCAGCTTTCTCAAGCCAACTTAAAGTTTGTCTTAACAAACTTTTTAATCTAGTGATTATTATTGCTGCTGTTAGTTGTCGTTAAGCACTCTACAGCTGCGCCCAGCACTTCTGGATGAAACGTCTGGCCTGTTTCCAGCTGTTCTTCGGGTTTGTGGAAGAACCTGAAACCGGAATCAAACACACAGAGATGCTTTCATATCGTGGATTTCTTCTGATTCAAAAAGTTGTCAGACACAACAGCTAATGTTCATAGTGGATTACAGTAGCAACAGCTAATGTTCATAGTGGATTACAGTAGCAACAGCTAATGTTCATAGTGGATTACAGTAGCAACAGCTAATGTTCATAGTGGATTACAGTAGCAACAGCTAATGTTCATAGTGGATTACAGTAGCAACAGCTAATGCTCATAGTGGATTACAGTAACAACAGCTAATGTTCATAGTGGATTACAGTAGCAACAGCTAATGTTCATAGTGGATTACAGTAGCAACAGCTAATGCTCATAGTGGATTACAGTAGCAACAGCTAATGTTCATAGTGGATTACAGTAGCAACAGCTAATGTTCATAGTGGATTACAGTAGCAACAGCTAATGTTCATAGTGGATTACAGTAGCAACAGCTAATGCTCATAGTGGATTACAGTAGCAACAGCTAATATTCATAGTGGATTACAGTAGCAACAGCTAATGTTCATAGTGGATTACAGTAACAACAGCTAATGCTCATAGTGGATTACAGTAGCAACAGCTAATGTTCATAGTGGATTACAGTAGCAACAGCTAATGTTCATAGTGGATTACAGTAGCAACAGCTAATGCTCATTATGGATTACAGTAGCAACAGCTAATGTTCATAGTGGATTACAGTAGCAACAGCTAATGTTCATAGTGGATTACAGTAACAACAGCTAATGCTCATAGTGGATTACAGTAGCAACAGCTAATGTTCATAGTGGATTACAGTAGCAACAGCTAATGTTCATAGTGGATTACAGTAGCAACAGCTAATGTTCATAGTGGATTACAGTAGCAACAGCTAAGTTTCATAGTGGATTACAGTAACAACAGCTAATGTTCATAGTGGATTACAGTAGCAACAGCTAATGTTCATAGTGGATTACAGTAGCAACAGCTAATGTTCATAGTGGATTACAGTAGCAACAGCTAATGTTCATAGTGGATTACAGTAGCAACAGCTAATGTTCATAGTGGATTAAAGTAGCAACAGCTAATGTTCATAGTGGACTACAGTAGCAACAGCTAATGTTCATAGTGGATTACAGTAGCAACAGCTAATGTTCATAGTGGATTACAGTAGCAACAGCTAATGTTCATAGTGGATTACAGTAGCAACAGCTAATGTTCATAGTGGATTACAGTAGCAACAGCTAATGTTCATAGTGGATTACAG